CCTGCAGACCCCAGGGCCGCTGAAGACTACGTGGACCATGTGTCTGGCAGCTGCGAACCGAACACTGGGATCTGCGGTTGGCCCCGGATGCGTGGGTCAGAAAGTCGCCGCTGGACGTCCAGGCCTGCGGGGCGCGTGCTCGTGGGTGCAAATGTGTGGCACTGGGCACCGGGGAGGGGCTGACATCGCCTGCCGCCAAACACCGCACGGAGCCGTCAGCGTGCACCAGGCGCCCGCACCCTCCCACCTGCTCCGCCCAAGAGCCCCAAGGACGAAAGGGCCCCCCACGCACACCTGGCACCGTGTCTGTAGCACCTGCTCGACACACATCTGCAGGGTGAACACATGGACAGCCGAGGCCCGTGCTCCCAGATGCTCACTGAGGGCCAGACCGTGTGCCGAGGGTTCCCCGTGGATTCTCTCACCCAGCCCGACCACGGCCGCACCAGACGGGACAAGGCCCCCAGACGCACTGACTGCAGGGCCCAGATCTGCACCCAGCCTCCCGTCCTCCTGCCACCCTGCCCCACCCGACCAGGGCCTCTGCCCTTGACTCCAGAATCGGGTCCAGTCTCCACACCTGTGGCCCCTGGCTCGGCCCTGCCCCCTCTCCCCCTGGAGCACGGAGGTGCCCCGCTCAGCACCTCCTCATTTCTCCCCCCCACCCCCGAGGGTCATGCACATGCCGCCGGACCTTTGCCCTGGAGTTCCTTCCGGTCCCCCCTGCATCTCCATCCCAGCCCTCACCTGTCTCCTCCGTGGCATTTACCACCATGTAGTCGCTCCGATCATCACGAGTCCGCCCATTTGCCAGCAGGCGCCGCACCTGTCTCACCAGCCTCTCCGGGTGCCCAGAGTGCGCCCGGCACACAGCACCTCTGCCATCAAGGTCCGAGGAACACGTTAGCACAGAACCACAGCTCGAGACGGAGGTGGCTGTGTCCGGCTCTACCCGCAGGCTTCTCATCTGACCATGTGAAGCGTGAGTGCCGGGAGAGGACCAGCAAGTCACAAGGACAGGACACGTGTGTGTGTGTGTGTGTGGGGGGTCCCATGGGCGTTTGCAGGTTGGACTCAATAGAATATTCTTTGCTTCCACAGAGAAGCAGCTTCTTCTACACTTTTCTTAAAACTCAAGGGCATCTTTGGCTAATTTATGTCTTCCTACTTTAGTCCAGACACATGTTTTGGTAAAACAGTTCCCTTTCTTCTTATGACAACAAAAAGAAAAATTCAAAAGTTCAAGCATAGGGACAAATGGTGAGTGATACCAGCTTCGGTGCACGGGGGAGACAATAGGGAAAAGTGGGGACTGTGGCAAACACACAGGGGGCTGCAACGAGGACACATGGACCTGGGATTACCAGAGTGTTCATTATGTTAAATAAACCTGAAACTCTGATTTTTTCTTCTGAGTTTGAATGAAAATTCCCCGTTGAAAACACCCTCTCTGGGCTGAACCAATCACACGCAGGTGCTGGAGCCCCAGCCTCCGGGCCCCCAGTCGCAGTCCCTGACCTAATCCCCATGTGGTTCAAGGTCCCAGGTGCCTCTCTGCCCTCATCCTCTGCTCACCCAAGGAAAGCCCCCCATGGGGGGGAGCACTGGCTTCCTCCGCCGCCTTCCATCTGGGCCGTTCACCGCATCTGGGGGCCACGCCTGCCCTGTGTCCCAGCAGAGGGCCAAACAGAATTCTGCAAGAGCCTGCTCAGAAATGCACCCGTGGGTGGGGCGTCCATGCTCGGCCATTTGCGGGTGGGGGGCCCTGAGCTCCCCATCCGTTGTTGTCAGTCACAGGGCATCCAAGAGGTGAACATCCCTCCCGGCCACCTTGAAGCAGCTTTCCGAAGACACTACCCCCCAAAACTCCCCACAAAAGAGGAAGTTCGAACCAGAAAGAGAGAGAAAGTCCAACACAAAAGAGCTGGTTGGACAGAAAAGCCCCAGGACCCCAGAAATAGTAAAGTGCTCCCCTGCCGACCAGTCTCAGCCCGCCGTCCCCCCTGAGCCCCTGCGTCCTGTCCCGTGAGACAGGACAGAGTCCCAGGCCCGGCTCCTGCCGTCCTCCCTCTGCGTAGCCACACCTCCCTCTGCTCCCTTCCAGCTGCTGCCCTTCTGTCCCAGCGGACACCTGCTCTGTCCCACCCAGGGCCTCTGCAAGTTCTAGTCCCCCGCCTGGAACATTTTGCTTCTCCCTCGCCGCCAACTCCTATTCATGCTTCAGGGCTCAGCCTAAAATGACGCTTCCTCAGGGAAGCCCTCCCTGACCTCACCCAGTCAACGTCGGGGTCCCTCTGCTCCTCCCTCTCCTGGGTCCTGGAGCCCTGGTCTTCCTCTTGCCTGCACCTTCCTCCACGGTCACCACTAGGTCCTGGCCTTCTCGGAGAGGCCGTCCCCACCCCCGTCTCCCAGAAACACGGATACCCACTACCGCATCACCCATGTCACATGCTCCACGGCATCCGTCACATGTAGAGGTTTCCACTGTCCCACAAGGGCAGGGCCCTCGTGTGTTTCACTGCTGTGCTACCCCCAGCGCCTGCCACATGGGAGGGGTTCAAGGTGTTCACCAGGAACCGCCAGGGACCGCAGGACACCCCGAGGCCTGGCGCGGGCTGCTCCGAGGCTGCTGCAGCTCCATGCACAGCCGGGAGCAGTCTCGGGAGAAGGGCCGGCGGGGAGGCGGCGGGGAGGACCCGCTGCCCAGGCCTGTTCCCGAACCAGACCCTCCTCGCCCCACCCATTTGCCCATCTGCACACGGCCTCAGCTCAGCGCCCTACCCGTGAATTCAGCTTTAAGTAGAGGCTGCACACGATGCCTCCGACAGTGTCTGCTGCCTTGGGTACATAAACTTCAGCAGGCGCTCCAAGCGGGTTTACTGCCGCACGGAGCTACGGGGAGCTGGGCTCTCCGTCACGGCCCTCACCAGTGAGCGCGAGCCAGCCCGCGTCGGCATCAGAGAGAGCCCTGCGCGAGAAAATGCAGTTAGTACTTACAGTTCCTCTGGAAGGCTGTCCCTACTAGAAACTAAATGGAGCTCAGGTTTGGCCACTGGGCACCCCTTGCTGCTGAGAGCAAGGGAGAAAAGGGACAGAAAAGACACTCAGGTTACTTAAACCAGTAAAAATCTGTAGGCACCTTGAATGCCCATCCCTGGGGGCATGGGTCATCATCAGTCACAGTACACCCACAGGATGTCCCTTATTCTGTGGTCACCATAACCAGCTGCTAGCCACTGGGTCCCGCCCAGCATGCAGCGCACGGGCCACGAACAGAGTTCGGCACAGCACTGCATGGCGTGTGCCCATGGAACAGGAGTGACTGTTATTTAACCACGGGATACCAGGAAGCCGAAGAATGATGCAGACGCACACGCTCCTGGGGACGCCACCAGACGCAGATGACTACGAACCACTTACAATGTGGCCGGGCCCAACTGAGATGTGTCGTAAGTTCTATACTAAAAGCCTGATTTCAAAAACTTAGTACAATGAATGTAACAATCCCATTCAATGTTTTTTACATCGATGGCATGCTGAAATGATATACTGGATGCATGATACTGTTATTTTACATGATTAAAAGTAATTGCACCTGTTTCTTTTTCCTTTGTTATGTGGCTCTTAGAACATTGAAAATTACGTGGATGGTTCATATTTGTGGCTCAGACTAGACTTCCATTGGACATGCTATTCTAAAAGGATTTTTTTAAAGATTTTATTTATTTATTTTTAGAGAAGGGAGGGAGAAAGAGAGAGAGAGAAACATCAATGTGCGGTTGCTGGGGGTCGTGGCCTGCAACCCAGGCATGTGCCCTGATTGGGAATCGAACCTTCGACACTTTGGTTTGCAGCCCTTACTCAATCCACTGAGCTAAGCCAACCAGGGCTGGACGTGCTATTCTAAAAAACTGAGATAGCATTCAGATACCATAAAATTCACCTTTTTAAGAATGTGCAATTCAGTGGTTTTCGGTACATTTGCAAAGTTGTGTAACCATCACCCCTAATTCCAGGATATTTTCATCACCCTGCAAAGAAGCTTTCTGTTCCTTATCATTAGCAGTCACCCTCCATTTGTCCACGCTGTTTTGAGTAAAGAAAAGCAAGTTGTAGAGCGGTATTACAGTATCAGGTGGGGTTTTATAAAAATAACCATTTACTATTATTAATATGCATGCCTACGTTTGTAAATGCACTTTTTTAAAAAAATGTTTGCAAACTTTTCCTGATGGTTATCTCAGGGAACTAGGGTCCAAGCCAGAGTCAAAAGGGAGTGGGCACTCATCCTTTATTTTCTATACTTCTGCACTGCTTTTGAGACTTAAAAAGAGAATGAGCTGAATTTCTAGTTCTACCTAAATAACTCCTTGTGGACTTGGGTAACTTTTTCACGGCACTGTCAACAGATTGGCTTCCGCTGGAAGAAGGGTCTAGTTTTAGATCTACTTTTTATTCTGTGCGTTTAAAATAGTACAGGCAGAGACGAGGTATTTTCCCTCCTAGCAACAGACGGGACCGAGGCCGGGTGGGTCCCCGCACAGACACAGCCGGTCCGCCGCCTCGCCGGCGCCCGACCAACAGCTCCGAGCCCAGTTGCTCGGTGCACCCGGCAGGGGTCGGCCTGCCCCAGGGCCCAGCCGTGCAAAGGGCAGCAGCTCCGGGACGAAGCTGGCGGGCCTCGGGTGGGGATGGGAGCCCAGTCCGGGTCCCCGGGGGCGGTGTCAGCTGGAAGGGGAAGCCGGCGCGACCTGACGCGCATATTTGGGTAGCGCCAAGGAGTCACTGATCCTCGAAAAGGGGGACCCTCGCGCCCCTACTCCCGGCCCGGAGCGCTTCCGGCGGGGTGCGAGAGGATGCTACCGGGAAGCTGAGGGTTTGGGTCGGGGTACCAGCGCGCTGGGGGGCTGCACCCATCCACTTCTCGCCCGGGATGCGCGGGCCCCGAACCCCTCAACCCCGAGACACGCCTCCCGCCCTTCCCGGCCCCTGTCCTCTACCTCGGCCCCAGGCTCGGGGGTCAGGAAGAGCGCGAGCTCGTGCGCCCCGCTGCGCACGGGCTCCGGCCGGTCGCCGTCCAAAAGCAGCATCAGGAGCGCGGTGGGGTCAAGCTGGCGGAGGCTGTCGGGGAGCCTGTTAGCGTACCCCGGCCTCGGAGCCCCGCCCCCGGCCGACTGCATGCCCCGCGGCCCGCCTGGCGGAGGCAGGTCAGGTGCGCCTGCGGACGTTGAGGCCCACGCCTTCCCAAGCGCCGGCCGAGTGGGCAGCGCCACCCAGTGGCGTGCGTTGCTCACTGCGCCCGGCCCTCGCACCACCTGGTAAACAAGAGATCCTCAAACTCGCCCGCGGATCGCAACCTCCTGGGGCTCTTATAAAATTTCCAAAAATTCGGGCCACACACAGTCTCGGGTGGAAACCTGGGCGTAGGTATTTTTGAAGTTCGCCAGGTGATTTCAACATACAGGGTCTGGCACAAATAACGCCTCTTTTTTTTTATTACAAAATCATAAGCATGCAATCTGGAACATCACATCACACTCAAGCATGCCCTGTGACGTTTTAGGCGAAATGTTCGAACTAAAACTATAAATTATTACCCCCATATTATTGCCCTACCAACCACACTCAAGCAGGTCTTACTTCTGCCAGACCCTGTACATCTGAATTTGATGCCTGTAAACAGCCCCTTTTTGCTGGAATCCAGCGGAGCAATGGTTCCCAGCCCCCGCAACACTCCAACGTCCTGGGGAGCTCTTAGAAGCCAGGAGGCCAGGCCGGTTCCCAGACCTCTGCAGCGAGGACCCCTGGGGGTGGGGCTTGGGCACGGGTTGTTTTCAAAGCTCCCCGCGTGATCCAGCGAGTGCTCAGGATAGAGAGCCGCTCTCCTAAAGGATCCTTTCGTTTAAGGACCGAAGTCCCCGCCCCAGGCCCTCCTCCCTCCAGCCTCTGGTTGGCGCCAGGCGGGGAGTCCTGGAAATTCGGGAATGCGGGTGTGGCGGTCCTCCTCTCGCTGGGGCAGCTTTCAAAATAAGCTCCGCAGAGAATTCTTAAGCACACTAAATTGGACCCCTTAACCTCCCATAGGAGGCTTGTCCCAACCCTTTAGAGGCTGCAGAGTGGGGTGCACCCCCCCAAAGCAATGCTAATGAAGCATACTGAATAAGGTAAAAAGGTGGGGAGTCTAGAGTTCTCGTTTTTTCTATGATGACTTTTCTTTTAAAATATTAAATTCGTTTTTAAAAATTGGGCTGGGCTTAGCGGTTGCAAATAATTTTTTTTTTTTAAATATGGGACGTCGCGTATTCCCCTCGAGTTAAATCTGAATTTATATTTTATCTCATGACCCTAGGGAGGGGGCGTCAGCCCAAGCTTGGTCTGCCTTCTGGGTCATCCCTCACTGCACAATTCCCACTTGCACAGCTGCCCACTGCTCGTTTCTCCACTTCTCCGCCTGAAGATCCAGGCCAGAGTCATTTTCCAGAAAATTCTTGGCAAAGACTTGGGCCTCAGGTGCTCGGGCAAAGGATTTGATAGGAACTCACTGAACCTGCACTTGGCCGTTCATTACCGTCCTGACCTTCCCGGTGCGAAGCCCTTCCACGCATCATCACACACGCCCGGGGGTGGAGCTCAGCCCTGCAGGCTGGCGGGGGCCCTCCCTCGGAAGAGCCCAGCGGTGGCCTCAGATCAGCCTTGAGCACAGCAAACGTCCCCCCATGGATGAAGCTCAAAAACGAGGCGAAGTTACAGAAGGCTCCGTAGGGCGCGCTGCCATTAACATAAAGTTTGAAAAACATGCGAAAGCACACTGTACATTGTTTATGGACACAGACATATGGAGTGAGCGTGAAGCTGCGCCACAGTTAGGAAAGCGGGTACTGGTGGTGGGAGCGGGGGTTGGGGAAGGGTAGGAGAGGGGGGCTCAGTTGTAATTGCAGTGTTTTATTTCTTCTGCTGATACTGGTTATACTATTGAAACTTTTTAAATGCCCAAAACGACTCATTAAAAATAAGACAAAAAGCCTGGGATGTGAGCTGAAGGCGCAGACTGCCCAGACCCCCTGGCCCCGGAGAAGGGGCGTCTGGGCAACGGATCTGGGCTCTTCCCAAGCATCTCAGTGATGCCCTCACTGGGCCAAGTTGGCCAGCGAACAGTCATTTTCTTTCTAGTCTTCCTCCCCGCTCCCCTCACCCCGCAAATGCCTAAGGAACAGTTTGCTAAGAATACAGATGCCCAGAGCCCTGCCCCAACCTTTTCTGCACCAGCAGCTTTGGGGAGCTGGGCACTCGCGTTTTTAAAGGTCCGTAGCTGAGTCCCATGCCCACCAAGGTCAAGAGGGACCCCCACCTGGGGGCTCCCTCCTGCTGCCGCCATTAGCCAAGGACCCCCCGTGGGAGGAGAAATGAATGATTTTAAACACAGGGGCGAATTTTTTTTTAATCTCCCGGTCCCTCAGCATGTTGGCCCATGCCCCAGCGCCCTGCCTTGGGTGCCCATATCCTGGGGAGACTGTGGGGCAGAATGCAAGCCCGAGGCCCGGAATGCAGCCTGCCTAGGCCGCACCCTGCCCAAACCAGTTTGAACCAGCTGCGGGGATGGAGCCGTGGCGGTCCCCGCGAGCTCCCCCTGGCGCCCAAGCCCAGCTCAGAGCTGCTGCAACGGCCTCCTGCTCCGGAGTCGCCCCAGAGTGATGATGACTGCGGGGCGGCGGCCTCCATCCCAGCCTGGGGTGGGGGCGCCAGTGACCGCCAGGCCCCCAAGGCCCCCAGGAGCCCTAGCAATCCCCCGCTGGGCCCCGAGGTCACACCCCCTCCCACCTCCACGCCATCTGGCTTCACCTCCTGCTGCAAAATGGTGGCCTGCCTGTGTCCTGTCAAGGTCAGTTCCGGCTCAGGCTTCAGGCGCACAAGGGCCTAGATTAGCAACGGTTCCTGAGCTCAGCTGCATATTGGAAACTCCTGGGAAACTTGCAGAAAACAGTGATGGCCAGACCCCACTTCGGAGACTGATTTATTCGGTCTGGGGTGTGGCTTTGCTTTGGGGAGCTTTGAGATCCTGCAGGCGCTTCTAACCTGCGCACCGTTCCCGTGCTTGCATAATTCTGGAGGCGCCAGGACCCTGCGGTCCCTTAGCCTCTGCATCGGTCCTCATCGCTAATGTGTCCCGAGAGCCCACTGTGTGCCAGGCACTGTTCTCAGCTCCCCTTTATGACGGCCCCGTTGAGACTCCACACACCCCGTGAGGTAGGTGGGCCCTGCTGTGACCCCCATTTTACAGATGAAGAAACAGACATGGTGAGGCTCGATCCAGGATCATAACCAGCAAGTGGAAAAGTCGGGATTTGAACTCGGATGGGCTGATGCCAGAACCCAAGTCCTTAGCTGCTACCCACACCAAGATAACCCGCTTTGGGTTCCTGCGACTGCCTCCCTAGCCCCAGCCTGGCCTATTGGAAAAGCCCTAAGCAGCCCACTCTTTTCCCTGCCCTCCCAAAGCACATTCTGGTCGTCTTCCTTCTTGCTCATAGTTCTTCAGTGGCTCCCCGGTGCCCACGGAGTGGAGTTCAGAGACCTGACCCTACCTTGCCAATGTGTTCGCACTGCTTTCCCCTTTGAACCCTAAATTGCAAATGGGAGACCAGTGAGAGAGGCACTGACGTACCAACTGCGAGGGCCCTCGCTCCGCGGTGGGTGCCCGGGACTGGGGGTCTCCCTGCATTTAAGGGCCCTGGGCTCCTGCTTGCCTGTCCTGAGTCCCGGGGCCCTGCCACGGGGCCTGCCTGAGCCACGGGAATTTACCATTGGAATAACTACTTTTGTAAAATACACAGGACAAGTGGAGGGCAAGGAGAGGATGTGCTCTCTAGACACTAACATGTAGTTTAAAGCTTCAGTATGAGATGGTTCCAAAGTGGGCAAATAGATCAACAAATCGGAATGACTGGGCCAAAACAAACCCAAGCCCATCTGAGAAGTTAGTAAATGACAAAGGTGAAACTTCAATTCAGTGAGAAAGTAGAGTCTTATTCAACATATCACGCTAGAACAATTAATGGAGAATTTCATTTATTTATTTATTTATTTAGAGAGGGAAGGGAGGGAGAAAGAGAGAGAGAGAGAAACATCAATGTGCGGTTGCTGGGGGTCATGGCCTGCAACCCAGGCATGTGCCCTGACTGGGAATCGAACCTGTGATGCTTTGGTTCTTGAAGGCCAAATAATTTTCAGATGGATTAAATATTTAAGTGTAAAGAAATCATAAAAGTATAGTACTCAAGATAAAATCTGGGAAAAGATATAGAATTTGAAAGGGAAACAATTAGAGAAAAGAGTAAAGGATTTCGCTAAAGAAAATAAATTCCTACACAATAAATAGAGACACCAATGATACACACAGTAAGAAGCAGTAACTATAATTAGGAAAAGTGATAGCCATAGGTTGATTTCCTTAATATATACAACACTTCTATGTATTAAAACCAATATCTCAATTTCTTAAATGTTGTGCAAAGGACTGAAATAGAGAAGCTAATGAAAGAAGAAATACGATAAACAATAAAAAACCACTTTCAAACTAATAAAGAGATGCAAAGTAGGATAATGACATGCCTTCTTCCCTCCCCTCCCCCACCTCCCACCGCGCCGCTGTTAAACAGGCAGAGTCGGAAAGTAAAAAGTTTGCTGGTTTGGAGGGGAAATGACTCACACACACCCCTGGTAAGGCTGTAAATTAGAACCTTTCCAGAAGGAAATGGGACTCTAAAAAAAGGGATGTGCCGCAACCTGATGATTCCTCTTCTGGGAATGCATCCGAAGGAAATAATTGGGCAAAGGATAAAAGGATGTATTTACAAAGCCGCCCGCCTCGGCCCCGTGTGTGTGATCGGGAAGAAGAAGACGGCAAGAGCCACCGGTGGGGAATGGGTGTCCAAAAGTGCTGGTCCCGGGGCGCAGTGACGCCTGCGCAGTGATGCCGCAGAACCACCACGATGCAGAGCGAAGCCATTCGCAAGGCTTTGTCCTCCAAAGAAAGCAAACTTCAGAATAATTTATATGGATGCTTTGATCCTGTCTTCACCCAAATACACATTAGGTGATATACATCAACATGCGCGTGGGCCACAAACCTAAGGGTGGTTATCTTTGAATAGTGATTTGGGGGGCGGGGGGGGGCTTTTTTTAAAGATTTCATTTGTAGAGCGGGGGAGGGAGAGGAACATGCATCGGTTGCCTCTTGCCTGCGC